TTTTATATTTATATTTGAAGAGCTTTGGCACATGCACACAGTCATGTAACTGTCCCATCCCAGTCTCCAGAAAGTTCTCTTTCACTACTTGGCAGCCCATCCACTTGGCACCAGTCATTGAATTTAAGGCCCACCCTAAGTCCAGCAGGACTTCATCTGTAGACCTTGATTCCACTTAAAGTCACAATTTGAAATTCTAGTGGTCCTGGATTTTGGGGACACTATTTAACCCACAGCCAGGTAGTGGTTAGTAGTTGGGCTCCGATCTGCAAGGGCAGTCGTCTGAAACCACCAGCTCAAAGGGAGAAAGAAGAGGCTTTTACTCCCTTAGAGAGTTACAGTCCTGAACACCCAGAGGGCAGTTCTGCCCTGTCCTATAGCCCGTATCAACTAGATGGCAGTGAGTTTGGATTTTTATTTACCCCACAAAGGAGCCCTGGGGGTGTCACGACTTAGCTGCTAACCCCGCCAGCCACTGCACAGGAGGAAGCTTTGGCAACTGGTTTCCGTAAAGAATATATCCCTGAAGCCCCTGTGGGGTAGTTCTGATGTGCCCTGAGGTCGCTATGACTCAGAATCTACTTGCCCACAATAGATTTGGATAATTCAGCACACTGTGGCCCCATCATTGAAAATAACTGATCGGATTAATATGGCTGTCTCTGGACTCTCTTGTGCTTCATTTATCTGTAAGCTTATTCTCAGGCCAATGTTGCATTCTCAATCATATAGCATTATAGAAAGTCTTGAAATCAGAAGCATACTTCCTCTAAATTTGTCTCTGTTTTTAATTTGTCTTTTTAAAAATCTTGTTGGTTATTTTAATATGTCCTTTGCATTTCTGTATAAATTTTAGAGCCACCTTGTTAATTTCTACCTAAAATAGTCTGCTGACATTTTGACTAGGATTGCATTGAAGCTATAGATCAACTTAGGGAGAATTAACACATTAACAATATTGAAACTTTGGAGCCTTGACCCAGTATGTGACTACATTTACTTAGGTCTTTAATTTTTCTCAGCAATGTGTTGTACTTTTCAGTAACAGGCCTTGTACATATTATGCCAAATGTGTCCCTAAGTATTTAACATTATTAATATAAAGATTGTCACTTATTTCCTTTCATTTCAACTTCTAATTCACCAATTAAGGATACCGTATTTTATTTACCCTTCTCCCCATATTTAGGCATTCAGTTTGTTTCCAAACTAGAAATGTTTGTACTATGATTTTTAATCTTTTGCCATTGTAGTATTCAGAGGAAACTAGGCTTCCTGTGTCTGGCCTCCCCTAAGCCAGAGGCGGCTGGTGGGAGAGGCAAGTGTGTGAGAGAGCAACAAGAGCCCCGCAGGCTGGTGTCTGGCAGCTTGGTGACTGACCCTGGTGATGTTGTGATGAGTAGTGGTGTGTGTAGATGTCAGCCAAATACTAGGGAGTGGCTCTTGGCCTGATGGGGAGGAGGTGCAGCCGGCAGGGTTATTTTTCCACCTTTAGGGTAATGTGCCTCAAGCCACCCCCTGCCTGAGCCTAGGGTTTTCTTGAGGCACAATAAGTGCCCTCAGGAGACCCGACTTTTACCTCGTTAACTCAATTCTCAGCGACCTGCCTGAGTTCTGAGCCCCAGAGCTTTCGTGCGTCATAGCTGTTTTATATGCAATACTTAAGACCATGAAGACATGTTTTCAACAGCTCTTTATAGTAATTAGATGAATTTGGGGAGCAGACTCTGCCCCAGGATAATGATTGTCAGTGTTTCTGACTGCGCATAGGTTTGTGGACAAATGTAGAACATTGAAACAGGTGCTGGATCCGAACCTAGCTCCTTAGGTACAGAGTAAGTAGCACATGGCTTTGGCTCTACAGTATTTGTTAATACTCCAGGATCCCAGGGAAACCAAGCCGCCCCACTGTTCAAACCACACATGGAGCAGAAATGCCAGGTGGCCTAGGAGAGGAAGTTGATCTGTATAATCCTTGGGAGACTAGGCTCTTGTTTGCCTGTAGGCCTGGATCCTGTGTAAGGGATAAGGGACCCCCGATTAGAAGCCTTTACACTTTTGTGAGAATCCCAAGAGTAGAAATGTTGTCGTACAGTGAAGCCATACTGAGGGTTCATATGAAGAGTTTGAGCATCATTAAAACAAGAGGCTCACAAAATAGGACTTAGCTCCCTGTGTGCAACCCGTTGGTGGTTTCTGTAAAACTGCCTATGATCACCACTCCTACTCATGCCAGGCCTCTCCTGACCTTGCAGTTCGGAAAATCGAAACCCAGAGGTTTCTTTGTGGTATTAAGTGCCAGGGGCCGGGACTAGATTCGGACTCACCTTGCCCACTCCACCAAGCTAGGCTGCAGGCTCCTCAGGGGGCTCCCTAATTCCTCCTCAGATTTGTAACTTACCTCTCTTTCCTCACAGTTGGTCCAGTCAAAAATAAGTCTTAGTTGTGTGAATTTGATGCCCAAGAGGATTTTTTTTCTTTCCCAGGGAATACCAGTCTATAGACTGCTAAGGTTGGGTGCCAAGGAGGAGGGTGGCAAAATGCCACCCCATGCCCAGCAGCTAATGAACACACTGGGGATTTGAGAGAGCTGCTGCCATGTTTTGTGTTCAGTTTTTCACTGAAGGTAGGGTGGGTGAGAGATGCCTGGAGAGAGGTGTTTTATTACTTAATAGAATCCATTTAAGGAATATTGAGGGACGTTCCAACAGGAAAAATAATGTCGGCCTCATTGAAAGCGCCGTGAGGGTCACCTGAGATTTGCATCGTTATTAGTGTCGTTCTGATGGCAAAAGCTCCGGGAGGTGTGAGCCGGGGCAGCTTTGTGTGCTTGGACAGTGTGATGTTGCGGTGCTTGGCCTCAGCTTTGGTGTGCTGGCAGGAGCTTTACTCTGTTGCTGCTGGAGCTCTGACTCAGGAGATCTCTGAAGATGGCTAGGAGCGGTCTGGGTAGCTGGGCTGGAACAGAGGACTTGTGTGGCCAGTCGTCTCGGTGCTGCCCCTTCTGGAGAGAACCGGGAATGACTGCAATGTGCTCATCCTTGCCCCTGCTTGACGTTGGTGTGTTGGCACTCTCCTCAGCCCGTGCCTCTGTGTCTGCTGTAATGAGAAGGCAGTGTCAGACGAGGTCCCCTGACTCTCTGCCCTTTGTATCTAAAGAACCAGATTGATCTTTGAGTCAGATGGAGGCCTAGAAGAATAGATTGCCACTAGTTGAAGGCCTGCAAAAGAGGCTTCTTTATAGATAGAAAAAACCAAAACCATGGTGAAAGCAGGTTCACGGGAGAAGCAACATGTCTCATGTGCATAGTAGGAGTGCTGTACCAAAGCAGAGACCCACAGGGTGGCATTGGGGGTAGCAGCTGACATATTGGGGTTCACTTGAGAGCTGTGGCTCAGGGTCTGTGGTCTTGAGTTTGCTCCCCTCCCTGAATCATAACTTAATTTGCAAGACAGAGTAGTGTCTATTGCATAGAACTATTAGGATCAAGTGGGATAAATTCCTGTAATGAGCTGGCACATAGTAGGTGGTTTAGCCACAATAGAGGGCAGAGGGCTCATCTCCAGCAGTCCCATTGTCACCACCCCCATCGCTAGGCTCTGGCCAGTTGTTAACTCTGCTGTCCAGTTCACTCTGACGCTGGCAAGTTTCTCTACACTAAAAGGAAACCTTGCCCAGCCTGCCGCCTCCATCCTCACCAGCATTGGTGCCACCTTTGTGTATTTTGAGTGTCTTCCAACCTAGACCTCATCTCCAGCACTGTGTTGGACCATCTTCTCTCATCCTTAGGTCTCAGTGGATGGTTTTGGAAGGAGGTTGCCAGGCCTTTCTTACTTAGCCTGTTTTAATCTGCAGGCTCTGCTGAAACATGCCCACCAAGAATGACCCTGCTGGCACTTGAAATACTGGTAGCCGAACTTCCAGCATCATAGCAAATGCTACACACAAGCCACCACAGCTGAGTGGTCGGAAGCCCAGTAGACGGACCCCTAGAACTGTGCAGCCTCTGCTTAGCTGGGGCAGAGCACAGAAAACTGGCTTGACGTCCCGTGCCCTAAACAGTTAAAGAGGTGTGCTTGCTGAGATCCATCCAGTATATGTGGCTTCAGGTTCCGGGACTCCCAATGGGGCAGTAGTGCTGAGCACCCCAGGAGCCCAACTTTGGTTAGAAAGGTGTGCCCCCCCCCAAAAAAAAAAAAGGAAGGAAAGGTGTGCCCCAGCTTTTTGACCATCAAGATAGAACCAATCATACTTACCTGGCAGGGAAGATGCCATGATTAAGAAGGTGGTTTTCCAGGGCGAGGCTTATCCATTGCACTCCAGATGTGCTGACCCCTGCGAGTTCCAATGTGGGAATCGACTGCAAAATGTGGGAAACTTCGACTGCATACTTTGTGGTAGTGGGGGACTGCATTCGCGCTCTACCCTGTTTAAAAAAAAGAAGGAAAAAATAAGATAGAACCAATCAAAATTGTGGGTGACTTAGAACACAGTGTGTCATTTTAAAAGCTTTAGCCAGTCTCCAGCAGTTGTTTTTAGATGCAGATGTTAATCATTAAAGCTAGGACTAAGCTCCGTTGCTAATGAAGTTAATGGGGCTTGTCTTTGGCCTGGGCAGGGGTGATGTGTGTAGTCCCTTGACTAGCCTTCCTTACTAAATGCTGCCTGTGCATGTCCAAATGCTTTTTATAGAAATATAGCAGAGGCTTGAGCATCATCACCTAGGCTTGACAATCAATCGTTTGTGAAAATGGCAAGACTTAAGCCAAAGAATAGGCGGGCTCCGCCTCGTCCCAGCTGCGGTGCCTTTCTCTGTCCCGGGAGGCGCTGGCCCCGCCCCGCCCCGCCCCGCCCCGTGTTTGTTGTCCTGCGGGAGTCGGCGGGGCGGGGCCGCCACCAGAGCGCAGGTTATTTGTCTTTCTGCTGCTGGTGGAGACCAGAGAGTTTAGGCGGCTCCCGGGCCTCTCCCAACTCCGTGTGCTCTGTTTGTTTCTGGCAGAGCGTTCTGGCCGGACTGAGAGACTCGCAGACAGACTACAAGACTTCAAATAGAGGACACGCTGGCCGCTGGATCCCGCTGCCTCCCCCTTCTCCCCGCTGCCTGCGTCCGGAGGATGAGCCCAGCCTTTAGGGCCATGGACGTGGAGCTCCGCGCCAAGGGCGTCTTGCTGGAGCCCTTTGTCCACCAGGTCGGGGGCCACTCCTGTGTGCTCCGCTTCAACGAGACGACCCTGTGCAAGCCCCTGATCCCGAGGGAGCACCAGTTCTATGAGACCCTCCCAGCCGAGATGCGCAAGTTCACTCCCCAGTACAAAGGTGAGCCCCCGCAGCCGTAGGGGATGCCAACACCTGGAGATGTGAGGTGTGCCTTGGCCTTTCCCGAACCCCGGCCCCCTCCCGCTCAGTGGGTTTTCCCTCCTACTTCTCTTGGCCTTCGGCCCAGCACCTCACACCCTCAGTTTACAAGCCCTGGTAAGATTGTTCGATTCTGTTTTGTTTTGTAGATGTGTTTTGAGTCCATTTGGGGTGGAAGTGTAGATGTGTTTTATGTTCAGGTGTCTCGATGGCAGTCACCCTAGTCTCCCATGGTGGGGGTGGGGGATGGGGCGGCAGGAAAAGACTGGGGAGGGTTTTGTCCAGAATCAGTCACTGCTGCCTTGCGTCTTGTCCTCCATGAAAAGAAAGCCAAAGCTGGTGATTAGGCAGACTGGGGGCAGGGTGGATTGAGTCAGACGGAATGCAAGAGTGGGAGGCTGTGCTGATTAGCCACAGCTATTACGGAATGTCCCCACAGTCTACTGAAGAGCCCCTTTGATTCACATATGGGGGGCTTTTATTACTTCATTTTGGGGGAGACAGCAGCAGCATGGTTGTGGCCTTGCCTGGGGGTGGGGGTCAGATCCTTTGTAAATCAAGGAAGAGGCTATTAGGGAAATAATGTGTATTTTGCCTGGTTGTGCACAAGACTCGGGAACAACTAGGCTCCTTTAGAGTGAGAGACAATTTTTTAAAAGTCAGAATGTATTTGGGCAGCTCTTTCTAAGTTGAACATGTGTGTGTGTTTGTGGGGGGGCGGAGGTTGGGGGCCCTCACTTGGTCCTTTTCTGTTGTTTTTTCCAGGACAAAGCCAAAGGCCCCTTGTTAGCTGGCCGCCCCTGCCCCCTTTTTCCCTTGGTTCTTTGTCCCGTGGCTGCAGGGCACTGTTCCCTGAATTCCCCGCCAGGGCTGGTCAGCACCCAGAGCTGGGGCCCACCTCAGAAGTGTCGTCTCTCTGTGAGCACGCATTCCCCTGCAGCAGCGGGCAGGCCGCAGGACTGAGCAGATTCAGTGATCCTGGGCAGAGAGGCCGGGCAGGAGAGGCGCTCAGCCAGTCGGTTGTAAGGAGCGCTCGTCGGCACCTGCTGAAATGCTCCCGCCTGACAGCCCCCCTCAAAGACTCTTAATTACACCTGGCAGGTTCTAGAGACTCCAGGGGGAGAACTGCTTTCAAGGCCACCGTGCATTGCGTCCGTGCTCCCTGCGCCCCCTGTCGGCCTTGTGCTGTTTTCTTTTGTGACATGAGACTACTGCAAAGACCAATAAAGTTGACATTTGAGAAGGATAAAAGGCTTGGGGTGCCTACCCATGTGGGGGCGCTTCGGGAAGCCTTTTTAGGATGTCTGTTGTGCTGTGTGGTTTGTTTTGTTTGCCCTTTATTTTGCTTCGCTTGCACAGTCTTCCTTTACCATTGGATGCAACACACACACACACACACATACACACCTGTGCCCCCCTCAACCCTCAGGGGGATCTGGCACTCATTCAAAATAAGCCTTGAGGCTGGTGGTATTTCTCGTTAGGGCATTGAAAATTTCGCCAAGTTACAAAGAACAAATGTTCCAGCTTTCTCAGGATTAGAAGAGTTCCATGAAAATTAATAAACATTTTCAATGATGGAAAAATGTGTCCTGTAATTATTCTTTGGCTCTTACCTTGTGAAGTGCATCAGAGAGGAAGACTCTCAGCTATTTTGCTCCCTAATTGCTTGTCTTGTATGGTGTCATCTTTTCTAGATGTTTTGATATTTGTTAGGTTTGCAGATGAGTTTGGGGCCTCTGGCAACAGAGAAACTAAGGAACAGGGTAAGAACAAAACAAATGTTAACAATCATGTTACTTAGGACGCAGCTTCTTGTGGAATTAAAAGTCTGCTCTGCTCCTCACCCCCCTTCCAGGTGTGGTGTCTGTGCGCTTTGAAGAAGATGAAGATAGGAATTTGTGTTTAATAGCCTATCCATTAAAGGGGGACCACGGAACTGTGGACAACGTAGACAGTTCAGACTGTGAACCAAAAACTAAGCTCTTGAGATGGGCAAGCAAAAAACATCATGTCACAGAAACGGAAAAGACTTCCAAGGACTGGGTGCGCCAGCACCGGAAGGAGGAGAAGATGAAGAGGTGGGTACAGACCGAGAAGAAGGACCCAGGACTCTCATGATGGGCTTAGAAGGTACCTTGTCACCCGGTGGTCAGTCCCTGCCCAGCTCCTTTAATCAGATAGCGACGTCTGGGAGGAAATGGCTGCTGCAGCAGCAGCAGCTGTAAAAGATTCCTTGGCAGGTCGGTGTCAGGCCCACAGCCGGATCCTGCTGTAGAGCAGTCAGCAAGACAGGGAGCCATCCCTGCGCCTCAGCATACTCACAGATGCGCTCCCTGAACTCTGGGGGGCCACCACAACAGGGTTTTCAAAGCATCTCCCCTTGGAACTTGGGGGGAGGGGCAACGGGGCTTCAAAAAATAATGGTACAAAAATCCTATTATCCTTCTATTCCATTTTCCCATTAACTTTTGACACCCTCTTGTCTCATTTATATATGTATAATAACATATATATGTATATATAATTATCTCTAATGTGGCTAAGCAAGTTGACTTACTGCCATAAAATTTGCAATTCCAGAGAACCTGGAATATCCGAAGCTGGGCTGGCATTGGCAAAAAGAGGGAGCCTGCCTGCCTTCCTACCGGGAGGTGTGGGAGAGGGGCCAGAGGCTGTCCTTGCATCTTCGCTTCTCCCTGATGCAAAAAACAGTGGGCTGCCTCCCGATCTCTTCAAAAGACGTTTTGTTGAAGTGTAATACACACACATTCAGTGAGCTTCACCCAGTTGACAAGCCCCCTCTCGTGAGCGTTGCAGATAAATACTGCACCCACTACCACATCAAGCTATCAAACTCCTCCCCCATACCGCTGGGGCCTTTTTGGTTTTGATAAGGCAGTGGCTTATCGAATCCTTTTCTCTTTACAGCCATAAGTTAGAAGAAGAATTTGAGTGGTTAAAGAAATCTGAAGTCCTGTACTACAGTGTGGAGAAGAAGGGGAGCGCGAGCTCCCAGCTTAAGCACTACAACCCTTGGAGCATGAAGTGTCACCAGCAGCAGTTACAGCGGATGAAGGAGAATGCGAAGCATCGGAACCAGTACAGTATCCTTTGCTCACCGAGCAGCTCTACATGGGCCGGGTTGTAATGCTGAGGATGGTCCTCGGAGTCCAGAGAGGTTGGGATTTTTAGTTACGGTTTTTGTTATAGCTCTGGGGCCAGAACATGCTGTGTGAAAATGGGGGCAAATCTCACCTCCCTGACGGCTGGAAGCTGGCTTGACTGGGCAGGGGTGGGGGTGGGGGAACAGGCTGAGTAGAAAGGCTTTGGGAGAGCCTGGCAGCGTAGAAAAGAAGACAAGGGAAGGGGTCCCTCCCTCCTCAGTGCTCCTCTGCCCTAGCCTGAGGACTGCACCCAGGACCCTTTCTGGTTTGGGGGCTGTTTTTTCCCCTTTTCATCCAAGAAGCTATACTTCATTTGTTCAGGCTTTTTTCATTATCTCGTGGGGATGGAGTTAGAGTAGAATTGGGTGTGTTTTTTTTGTGTGTGTGTGGGGGGTGCTTTTTTTTAACTTAATGGGGAAAAATCTACACATTTGAAAAATAGAGTGTGTTGAACCCTGAAGTACCCATGACCCAGGCCGCCCCACGAGTCTCATTGTCAGTGCCCAGCAGCCCTCAGCTTGATTCCCTTTGAAGCAAGTCTGAGATGTGTTATTTCCTTGTTGTATACATCAACCAGTGTGTAAAGCATAAGGCTATTTTAAAACCAGTATTCTCGTTCCTTTAAAAGCAGGCAGGCAATAAGTCTTTCATATCCGATATCTAGGGCTCACATTTTCCTAATTGTTTCTAACTAGGTTTATGAATGACTTGTTGGGATCCTGATAAGGCCCCTGATAAGGTTGCGTGAGTTTGAAATATCTAGTCTTTATATATGTTCTCTGCACCCCCACCCCCCTATTTTCTTCCTCGTTGGAGATTATCTAGAAAACTGGGTGTTAGAGCATTTCCCACGGTCTGGGTTTTGCTGACTGTGCCCCTGTATTTTTAGCTCATTGGTAATTGGCTCTGCCGGCTTGCTCAGGTTCCCATCAGTTTTGTGGGGCTACCGGTGAGACTCCATCATAGACGGCACTGTGCCGCCCGTCGGGAAGCACACAGTTTCTCTGAGCTCATCGCTGCCACCGCTCCCTTGTTTTTGCTAGGCGATTTTCTCATCATAGTCTTCACTCATCGGGAATCGTCCAAAAGAAATTTCGTCCTAACCACCAAACGGTTATTCTAGAGTGTAGCCCGCATAGGGAAAAACAAGCTAAAAGCTTTTCTTTCATTTACTAAGTGTTGAGACCTGGTGGTATCGTGGTTACACGTTGGGGCTACGATCTGCAAAGTCAGCAGCTCAAAACCACCAGTGGTTCCGTGGGAGAAAGATGGGCTTTCTACTCTCAGAAACCCAGGGGCAGCTCTATCCTGCCTTAGAGGGTCTCTCTGAGTCAGTATTGACTCAAAGGCAGTCAAAGGTTTGGGGTTTTTTTTGGTTGGGGTGGGGGTGAGGTAAGAAGTGACCGTAACCGCTCCCAAGATGACCAGTGGGCATTGGGATCAAGTGCGTGGATTTCCATAGTTTTGATGCATCCCCCAGAGTTCCCCTTACTGATCAATGGCCAGCGCGAGGAGCTTCTTCCGAGGGCTCCTGAGTCACTGTGACATCACTGTGACAGCCTCGGGAGCCTGTGGGAGCCCCCTTGCTTGCTCACAGGAAAAGATAGTCCAGTGTGACATACATTTCCTGCCCCAGATAGGAGATCATCCCTTTCTCTAAGGCAAGGGTTGGCAAGCCTTTTTAGTAAAAGCATTAATAGTAAGTATTTTAAACTTTCCAGGCCTCCCACACCGCTGCTGCTCTATCAGAGTCACCAGAGGCAGTCATTACTTTGTTCCTACTGGAATTTTATGTCATGAAATGTTATTTTTCTTCGGATTCCCACACCCCTCTCCCTAAAAACATCCCTAGTTTATGGGGGGCGAGGGGGCTTAAGGATTGGGGGATGAACAACAATGGGCGGTGGGCTGTTATTTGCCAGCCCTCCTTTCCAGAGCCCTGATTTCTCTGTCATGGGAAGTGAGGTGCCACCATTTGGGTGACACGGATGTTCTTTCTGGGCTTTGTCTCTAGGCTTTTTCGGTGGACATGGCGAGGAATTACACATTCTAAAAGTGCTTACCTGACTTCCTACCGATATTTTGAGTTCACATTCATTTAGGACTTCAGGATTTGCTAAACCTATTTGGATGTTCTATTTATACTTGAGGACCATAAGCGCTAAACCCCAGTTCCATCCCTGGCTGAGTTGAGAGGGTTGTATGTCTTCCTGCGGCCGGCAGGGGAGGGGAAGGAAGGGCCTTTGTGTTCTCTAGCCTGAGTTTGCTCCCTGGGAGATGGCAGGCCTGGCCTAGCCCACCATGACTAGCTGGAGGAGGCCCTGAACCCAGGCTGCTTTTCTGGGCATTCTGTCGCCATTGTGCCCGAACTCAGACAACAGCGCCTTTTCTTGAGGGCATTGTCCTTAACTACTCAGAATTTATTTTACTGGAAAACCTGACCTCTCGCTATGAGGTGCCCTGTGTCCTGGACCTCAAGATGGGCACACGCCAGCATGGTGACGATGCTTCGGAGGAGAAGGCAGCCAACCAGATCCGCAAATGTCAGCAGAGCACGTCAGCAGTCATCGGGGTGCGCGTGTGTGGCATGCAGGTGAGGGGTGTGCTGGCACCTGCTGGGAGCTGGCCTCTTCCCCACCCTGACATAGTTTTGTTGCCTCAAACTATTCCTGGTTTGACCCTTTGAGGTGGCCCTTTGTGGAGAGAAAAGAGATTTCCCATACCTGGCAATCCCTGTGGGGCTGGCCTGGCTCACAGAGCCCCCAGAGGAAGGAAAGAAGGTTAGACCCTCACCGCTGAGGGAGCTGGGGCACCAGCAGAGGTCTGTAACTTCATACCTTCCCTCTCGCTCTGTGTCCCCGGGGTCCAGGCCCTGAGACCACATCCCCTCAGCTCCTGACCTGCTTCTCCGACTCCCCTCTCCCCACAGGTGTACCAGGCAGGCAGTGGGCAGCTGATGTTCATGAACAAGTACCATGGGCGGAAACTGTCAGTGCAGGGCTTTAAGGAGGCGCTGTTCCAGTTCTTCCACAACGGGCGGTACCTGCGCCGAGAGCTGCTGGGCCCTGTCATCAAGAAGCTGACTGAGCTCAAGGCGATACTGGAGCGGCAGGAGTCCTACCGCTTCTACTCGAGCTCCCTGCTGCTCATCTATGACGGCAAGGAGCGGCCAGAGGTGGCCCTGGACTCGGATGCTGAGGACTTGGAGGACCTGTCCGAGGAGTCGGCCGACGAGTCTGCCGGCGCCTATGCCTACAAGCCTATCGGCCCCAGCTCAGTAGATGTGCGCATGATTGACTTTGCACACACCACCTGCAGGCTATACGGTGAAGACAGCGTGGTGCACGAGGGCCAGGATGCTGGTTATATCTTTGGACTCCAGAGCCTGATAGACTTCGTCACAGAAATCAGTGAGGAGAGTGGAGAGTGAGCTTGCCGACTGCTCTGGCCCCTAAAAGGCTCTTTGTGTCCCAGGCACAGCTGTGCTGCGTCGGGGAGGAACGGAGGAGGCCGGGATGGCCAGGCAGTTGCCCCTGCAGCCTGGAGCTGACCCACAGAGGCGTCTGTGAGCCCTGGCCTGAGCCAGCCCCAGCCGCCCTCAGAGTCTTTATTTATTTTAACTGTTTCTTCAACATTCCACATTTGATGATGCAGATACCTCTCTCTCTCTTCCTGAGTGTAAACGTTCCAATACAGATCTTTTTGTTAATTGTACAGAGTACTGCTGTCGTTCTTGCCAGGGCCAGGAAGCCTCTCCCGCCACCCACCCTCTAGCCTCCTCACCTGCTCTGGCCACGACCCTGGCCTAAGTTGAAAACAAGGTTCTCCTGGCCAGTGCTCCCCCTGCTCAGACCCTGAAACGTCCACCGCCTCTTGGCATAGTCTTTAATTCAGCACCCTGAAGCCATCCCCAAAGGACCCCGCATACACCACACTCTGGCCTTCTGAGATTGGTTCCGGCTCAGGCCAGCACCCTCTGTCCAAAGAACCCTACTTGAAGGGTTTCCCCGCCTCTTGTGGCTTAGCCAGTTGGGCAGCAGGTGTTCCAAATCCAGCTTTGGGTGCTTGTTCTGCTAGCAGCTGCTAATTGGACATGACCTTAGATGTCCTGAAGCTGATGCTGGGGCCCCAGGTAGCGTCTGCACTGTGATGAAGCAGCCCAGAAGTGTGCTGCTCCGGGAGAGTGTGTACCACGTAGAGTACACAGTCTCCTCCACACAGCCCTCAAGAGCTTATCTCAGCTGCAGGAGGAGAGGATGGTGGGAGGTCTTGAAGTGCAACGCCAGTTAGTACCAGGAGGGGTGGGTGTGACCCTGTTCAGAGTCGGCTGGATCTAGGCAGGATTTCCTGGGCAGTTGGAGGGTGGGACCTACAAAAGCAGATAACTACACTTTATCCTGGATCATGAACTATAGTACAAAAGTGTTTAATTGCCAGGGGAGGCGCTGAGTTCTTTTTTTTCCTAAAAAGAGGCCAGGAAGGCAGAGAAGTTTGGGAATGTGTGGTTGAGGGCAGGGATAGGCCACATGGATATTTATAACATTATTCTCAGACTGTATTTGTCGAACATTTAATTACCCCTAATGTGATGGCTGGAACTGCTTCTGGTGAGGTGTGAGATAGTAACAGATATTGTTGATTTTGCAGACCTTGCATGGCTCATGGACCGGACATGATCCCTGATCCAGGGGGTCCAAGTCTGGCAACCCCACACCCCAACCGCTCAGTCCCACATCATGCCTGTGTTCATTATATCCCCCAAACAGGCCAACTGCAAAAGTGGGCCTGGCTGTGCCCTCAGACCCTGCTCCCTGTTCCATGCTTCCCACGGGGACTGTGGCTGAGCACAAGAAACGGAAGGCTCCCAGGGACCTTCCAGGTAGACGGCCTTCCACGACCTGGAGGTCAAGACATCAAAAAGGTAGACCACACTCCCTACCCTCTGTAGACCCTTCCATCTGCCCTTAAAAAGGGATGTCAGAGCTAAGTTTGGAGTTTTAAGTTCTATAAAGACATTAAGTATCTGATAGGGACCAGTGAGTGACATTATGCCAGGCAGCGAGAATGGGCACAAAAGCTCCGGTGGAGGATGCCCTTGGTCCTGGAGATGATTCCAGCACATATGGACTCTCGCATCAGGCTCTAATCTTTAGAAAGGACTGCCACCTCTCAGTTCCCTGGGGAGTGGCTGGTGAGTGAGCGCCTTGTGGTTAGCAGCCAAGCCCTTATCCACTGCGCCTGTGACAAAGGGTGAAGGACAGTGAATGGCCCACCAGGTTTCTGTTGTTACTGTTCCACTCCATTAGGAGCCCTGGTAGTTAAATACTGGGCTGGTAGCTTGAAGATCAGTCCTTCAAACCCACCAGCTCCTGCTCCCCGGCAGAAAGATGAGGCAGTCTGTAACTTCCGGCCTCAGAAACCTTGTGGATTGGTTGCCCTCCAGGGTCACTGCGAGTCCTAATGGACTGGGCTGCAGTGGGTTACCCGATTCCTGCTCCCCACTGTCCACCACGGGAAGGAAGTAGCATGCAGGGGATCCAGAGACAAAACATGCTAAGCCTTGGGGGACCTACGTGTTTCAGATCAACGGGAACCAACAATGGGAGCATCCTCTGGAGGTTGCTGGCATTACTATTAGTGGGTCGGGACCTATCCACGGCAGGGCCGCGGAGGCTCATGGGGCTTCTGGAAGAACACCCCTCACAGGCTCTGGCGTTGGGATTGCATGGAGAGCTCCCTTATTGAGGTCAAGCGCCTGGACTCGAATGGGGAGAAAAGAGTTGAGGGTTAGGCTTGAAGCCCGGAAGCCAGGATTTCGACTGTGGATGCTAGGACCCAGGTAGTCCGCGAGGTCCGCGGCTGAGAGTGGCGGAATCAGGAGCCGCGCTACGCCTGTTGTGGCCGCCGGGGGCGCTGCGCTTCCGCCCGGGGGCCGACACACTGGGGGCGGGGCTACGAAGGGCGCGCGCGCGCGCGCACGCGCGGTGTCACGGGGCGGGGCGAGCGCGGCGCGGCGCGGCGCTCTGGGCCTGGCGTCCTGGCTCCGTAGCGCCTGCCGCCTTCCCTGCTCCCGGCGCGGCTTGTCCGGTCCCCATGTACCGCGCGCTGTACGCGTTCCGCTCGGCAGAGCCAAATGCCCTGCCATTTTCCGCGGGCGAGACCTTCTTGGTTCTGGAGCGCAGCAGCGCGCACTGGTGGCTGGCGGCGCGAGCGCGCAGCGGCGAGACCGGCTACGTGCCACCCGCCTACCTGCGCCGCCTGCAGGTGAGTGTGCTCTCCTGGGCCCAGCCTCCGCGCTCCGGAGACCGGGCCCCTGTCGCAAGCCCACGGGACCCACCCCAGGAGCCCAGGCCCCCAGGAAAAGCCGAGGCCCAACCCGCCGGCAAACAAGGAGTTTGAGAACCTTACCCGAAGACCCCCCCCAGGCCCACACACCCCCAGGACCGGGACCCCGGAGCCACAGCCCCTCACCAGAGAACAGGTCCTTTGCCCTCTGAAGGCTAGACCTACCAGAGCTTAACGCTGGGACCCCGACGACTGGGGCCCCAGGCCCCCATAGATTATTTGGGACCCAGTGTCTGAACCCTCATCCGGATTGGATTCAAGAGCCGGGCCTACCAAATTTTGGACAGTTCCTCAGACCTCTAAAACCCGAGGCTCCTAATATGGCCTTTCCTTAATCCCCAGGATCCTTGCCTTCCACCCTCAATCCCCTCCTTGGACCCTAGCGTCATAGACACACACACACATACCCTAGGGACCCCAGTGTCTCTGCTTTTCTCCCAGCCACCCTTAAGCACTTCCCCAAACCCCCAACTCTCTTTGAACCAAGCAGTCTGGCCAGTTGTGACTTCAGCCCTGAATTCTTGGGCTTTCATCCTCTGCAGCTGGGGGATCCACCCTTTCCTGTCCCCAGTCTGCACTGGAGGCTGTTCCCAGTGTCCGGAGGCTGCCACCCCAATGGCTCCCCCTGGTCTGACCACTGCCCTCTTTCCTTCTGTTTCTCCAGGAGTCGCCTGCTGCAGGGGCTAGCTGGTCTATTCTAACACCAGGGTGTGGGGGGAGAAGTGTCAGACACTCCACCCCCCGGGTAGTCCCGAGCAAGCACCCTGGTCAGGCCCAGCCCAGTCGGGACAAAAATAACAGGCTATATATTTGGATACCAGCTCAAGGGGATGGGGATGGGTGCTTTCTTTCTAGGAGTAACAGGGGGCGTGGGGTCTCTGTGCTTGTTGGAGGCCCCTGAGCAATCCATCTGCCTCTTTCCCTGCTGGGCCTGTGAGGGCCCTCCCCCCAGTAGAGCCAGTGGAATTGAACCTTCTGCCCCCCTCTCTCTCTCTGTCCGTGTCTCTCCTGGTTTCTTTCTGCATATTCCCCTCAGTCGCCCACCCTGACTCGGTAGTTCTCTGCCATTGTGATGTGTGTATGTGTGTGTGTGTGTGTGTGTGCGCGCGCGCGCACGCACTTCCCTCTCTGTCTCAGTCACTCCATTTCTTTCTGCGTTGATGCCCTCAGTCTCTCTTCTGAGCCTGTCTTTCCGGCCCCTTCTCCCTGCCCCCTGGCACATCCCCCAGCACAGGAAAGCTCAGCGACCTCCACATCTGTCTGTCTGTCTGTCTGCCCCAGGGAAGCTTTTCAGACTTGCTCTGACGGGTGGCCACCTCGGAGACACCTTGGTAGCTTAATGGCCTGGATGTACCAGGGACATGGGAGGAATGGAGGTGGTTGTTCCTCCAGCTCCCCGTTCCTGCCCCCACCCCCTCCCACCCCACCCCTGCCATTACTGGGCAAGCCTGGTAAGATTGGACCCGAGGGACTGGGAAGAGCAGGACCCAGGTTTCATTTTCACATCCGTCCTTGGCCAGAAACAGAATTGCAGCTTCCCGGGTGGGGCTGGAGGAGTCCTTGGACAGCGTGGGTGGGGGATGAGGGCTGGCCACCCGGAAAGGGAAGGGAGGTCCTTCCACCACTCTGCAGCATCAGGGTCTGACAGAGCCCTGTGGCAGGCTGTTCTAGAGGGTGACCTTGTCTTGTGAAGGGTCCGGGAGCTCCAGGGTGATTTATTAAGGGTTTAGACAAGAGGCTTCCTGCTCGACGCCTTGGCCTGGGCTGGGAGCCCAGTCGGAGCCGGTGCCACCCCCACCCCCGCCACTGTAGCCTCGCACAGAGCCCCCTGGGCGCTGGTTTCTCTGTAGGCCCCTGTTGTTCAGAGACATCTTAGCGGAGAGTTCTAATCCTGAGTGGGAAGCCCCCATCTGTAGAAGGGTACCCTGGGCCACTGCTCCAGTGACAGTCTGAGGAACCCCTGCCTCTCCCCACAGAGCTGCTCTCCAGCCTCCCACTGAGGAGCACCCCGCCTTCCTAGGCTCCCTCCTGGGCTAAGCACCCCCACCCCGCTTGACTCCTGGTCTAACCACCCATCCTGGTCTCCGCAGGGCCTGGAACAGGATGTCCTGCAGGCCATTGACCGGGCCATCGAGGCCGTGCACAATGCTGCCATGCGGGATGGCGGCAAGTACAGCCTGGAGCAGCGCGGAGTCCTCCAGTGAGTGGGCACACG